TGTAACCCTGGGGCTGACTCATTTCCACACTGGCCCCACCTTAGAACTGTGGTGTTGCGAGGTGGGATAGGTAGGCTTTTCTGGCTGGGCCCTTCACTGCGGGACCCTGCATAAGTTTCTTCTTGTTTTCGAGCCTCTGTGAAAAGAAGGCAGTGGTGGCTATCTCGCAGAATCATTAGGAGAAAGTCTACTTCCCCCCCCCAAAAAAAAAAAATAAAATAAAATAAGTCATCAAAACACAAAGCAAATAAGATAACAGAAATATGGGAAATATAATGTGCAAATTATTTTTACTTTTATTACTCAGTTTTCCATTGGTTGCTTTTTTTTACTTCTTGTATTTTAGCAGACAAAACAATTCATTATCAATCTGTTTATTAGCAAAGTGACTTTAGTCCACATACACACATAAATCATACTTTCTTTAATGTTAACTATCATATCCCTATATTCATAACATATAAAAAGGAGCTCTGGTGGTACTGTGGTTTAAGCGTTGGGCTGCTAACCAAAAATCAGGAGTTCAAACCTACCAGTCACTCGTTGGGAGAAAGCTGAGGCATTCTGCTTCTGTGGACATTTGCAGCTTTGGAAATGATATGTGCCAATTCTAGCCTGTCCTATAGAGTTGCTATGAGTTGAAGTCAACTCAATAGAAGTGAGGGTTGTTTTTTTTTTTAATATTCATAAAAGTATTAAAAATCATGAGAGAAATATTAGAGTGGTAGGACAATGGTGGAAATCATTTTACTTTAATAATTTTCTTTGTGTTATTATTATGTTTTTGTAATCAAATGGAAAAGTAAAGAAAATATGGTAGCTCTTTCTTGCTTTCTTAGTTTTATTATTAAATATTCCCAATCCATATATTTCCAATTTGAAGGTGTTGATTAATATTAGTGAAGATCTCTCAATACTTACATTGTCCTTTAATTGCAGTGGTTTGGAGGAAATATTACATCACTATTTGACTCCTAATGAGGACATAACACATCAGACTTGGTTTATGAATAGCAATATCTAAGTAATTTGGAAACTTCACTCTGCAACAGCAAGACATAGATAAAACAATTAAAAAAAAAAAAGGAAACTGAAAACTGTCTGTGTTCTAAAGTAAATGTTACTTCCAAATTTGGGAGATTTGCTTGTGTTCCAATGAGGATTATCATTATAGAATGTGTTGAGTTCAGATTTAATGCAAAAAAAAAAAAAAAGATTTGCTTTTGAGATTGACTCTGACTTAATAAGAGTTATGTCATGTTGACATATGCAGGACTCGTGCACTCAAATTTAATGCAACAAAAAAAATTGCTTTCGAGATTGACTCCAACTTAATAAGAAATTAATTAATTATATTTAATTTTCTCTTTGCTTCTCCTTCCTTCTTTCCTCCTCTCCTTTCTTTTTGTAGATGGTTCAGAAGTGTATTCCATTCCTAATTGGGCACTTGAAGGATTCGACCCATAATGATGTCATCCTAAACATCCTCATAGAGATTGCAGGCTATGAACCAGTGGCGTTGAATAGTTTTCTTCCAATACTGAAAGAGATTGGTGAGCGGTTTCCCTACCTCATTGGACAAATGGCGAGGATCTATGGAGCTGTTGGGCGTGTGGATGAAGTAAGTTGAGCATTTTTCTCCCCATTTCCCTAAGATCCACTGGCACTTAACACACTGGAGTTCTGAGATCTATGACTTGTCTTGGACTTCTGAGAGCCCCCGTCTCTATTTCATATTTTCCTAACTATGGCCTCTGGGTCAAGGATTGCTTGTAGCTGGGCTATGAGGAAGGTTCAGGAAGTGAGAATTTTATTGTTGGAATGATCACCTGAGGAGGGAGAAGAGTTAAAATCGAGTCATATAATAGGTTCAAGACCATTTTTTAATAACAACTGGAAAGAGAGTTTTGCAATTCTGCTTAATGCAGAAGACTTTCAGTAAGCATAGCATTAGGTCTCAGAGACCACCCATTAGTGAAAGTCCATAGCTATCACATCAGTAAGCAACTAGACTCAGTATGCTTTCAGCTCTCTAGATGATGTTACTTTAGAGAGTGAAATAAGCGTTCGTGGATGTTTAAAAGTTCTAGCCTAAATATTTGCACAATGGAATCTTTCAGCAGGGACAACAGGATGCTATGAGAGCTTATAGGGATTAGGCAACTAAGAGTTTCCAGTTTCCAGTTTCCAGAAATTCAAGTTCTGGAGAGTGTATGCATGTGCATGTACACACACACAAACACACACACAAATGTGTGCATACATCTGTTTAATGATTTTCTATTGGGATATATAATTTTTATCTTTTTTAAGTAAAAGGAAATATATAGTTGATAGACGTTTTACCTTTTACTCACTTGCATTTAATATAATTATCTATAAGGGAAATATAAAATGGTACAACAAAAAGGGATTTCGTAGTTCACCAAGTTTGACCCCTTGACTCTGCACAAATTAAAATTAAAGAGCCGAAAGATTAAGTGACTTACCCAGACTCAAACTTGGTTAGCCAGTGACCCAGTTAGAATTAGATCTTTGGTATCCTTGCATTCATTTGTGAATTTTATCATAAAATGGATCTTCCCTTTTGTTTTGCTTTATTTTTGCTAAGAGCTATGAACAGTCAAGTGAATCTTGGCCTTCCTCCTGTAGAAGGCCTTCCTCCTCTAGCTTCCCCAAAAGAAGGTGAGAGAACTGAGTGTGCACGAGTCCTGCATATGTCACCATAAAGATGAATCTTAAGATTTCTTTGTTGTGGACATGCTGCTTAGTGTAATCCCTCTCTGTTCATTGCTGTTGCAAATGCCCTGTACCTGCCACGTTCTGTCTTCTGGAGATGCTTTCACGTGCCCCGTAACTTTGCTACCAGTAGAACCTGCTGATGTGCCCAAGTATTATTAGGTCAACTTTGGATGACAGCTGTTTGACAAAATCTGCTGACCTTGCAGATCTCTGCAAGAACCAAGAAATTTAATCTCGGATGCACAAGGCCCTGGAATCTTTAAAAACACATTTTCCTTCTGCACTTTAGTTGTATTTCTTTTTGTCACAAATACATTTGTGATTCATTATTGAGCAGTAACGCATGTTGAAAGTGGCTTAACTTCCCGTGGAAAATGTAATCTGTGAAAAAATTGTTTTTGTTGTTGTTATGTGCTGTCGAGTTGGACCCGACTCATAGCGACCCCTCCTTGGGTTTCTGAGGCAGTATGACTACGGAAGTAGATTGCCCCATCTTCCTTCCGAGGAGTGGCTGGTGGGTTTGAACCACCAGCCTTCTGGTTAGCATTCAAGTGCCTTAGGCACTATGCTACCAGAGCTCCCATGAAAAAATAGTCATATGCAATTATATCACTGTGGGTTTGTCTGAATTAAAGGTGAACCTGACAGACAATAATCTATTAGGTGACCATTGTGTGGCTCTCTGTGGGTACAGAAAAAAGGAGAGATGTATCCAAATAGTCTGAGGAATGATTTCAGAATACTCATATTACCCCTCTTTCTCTTGCCTGTAGCAGGGGAAAAAGGGAAAAAAAACTCCTCTGGTGCTTCTGATTGAATTCCCCAACAGAGAACAGCTCTAGAGTAGACACTTTGCAAACATGTCTAGATATCAGAATTACATGGGCAGCATTTTAAATAATGTAACTTCTTGGGTACATAGAATACCTGCTAAATCAAAATATCCAGTTAAAGACCCAGAAATCTGCATTTGTAGGAGCTTCTGCCAGGGTCTTCCTGACGTAATTGGTTTGTGGATCAGCATTTGGGAACCACTGACTTTGAGTATTTATAAAATTTTCTCTCTTTAGAGTCAGGTCCTGCCCAATTCCCCATCCTGCCCTCTGCTATCATACAATTGCTAATTAATTAGTACTTTTCTAGGCTACCTTTGCAGCAGTTTGACTTAGGTTTGACTGAGAATAACAAACCAATAGTGGCTTAAACAAAGATATCTATTTTTCTCACACATGAAAAGTTTACAAAACAGTCAGGCTGGAACTTCACGTGGTCCACAGTTTCAGACACCCAGGCTCCTTCTACTTTGTTGCTGTATCATTGTTGAGCATACCAGAAACCACAAGACTTCCATGTCATGGTCTGAGATGGTTCCTTGTCTACACCCATCAAGTCAGTATTTCAGGCAACAGGATAGAAGAAGGGAAGAGGGACTCTTCCAGGCAGTCCAATACAAACGTTTATTTGCATCCCATTGGCTGTTGTTGTTACTTGCTGTCGAGTCGGCCCCAACTCATAGCGACCCCTCCTTGGGTTTCCGAGGCAGTATCACTACGGGAGTAGGATTGCCCAAACTTCCTTCCGAGGAGTGGCTAGTGGGTTTGAACCGCCCAAAAAAGTATATAAGCATACCTAGCTACAAGGGAGAAAAAGACATGTACTCGTGATTCAGGTGTCCCTGTGCCCAGCTAATCAAGAGAGAAGGGCAGAAAGAATAATGGAGGACAAACAACCACCTCTGCTAAAAGTGGTCAAGCCATTTCATTTTTCTGAGTCTTTTTTTCTCTCCTCAAAGATCATGGCTTTGCAGTGGATGACCTTCATTCTGGCTCTGACATCCTTTGATTCCATTATTTCATTTCACTGAAAATTCATCTAACAAAATTACCCATAAATGTAAAGCAGGCTTCTTTGGTCAGAAATAACACCCCCTCTCATTTACTTGTGATGTCTAAAATATTACCATTAGGAAGAACCTTTTAGTTTTAAAGAATGTTAAAGCTTATACGTCCCTAGAGTAAGTGTAGTATCTAAGCAGCTATTAACTGTTTAATTTGCTCAACTCTCTAAATAACATCTTGTGGGATGATATTCTTAAAGGCCAAAACCAACAAGCAAGATATATATGCATGTCTATTTCTACGTAGCCTCTTTACAAAAGGAAACAGGAAGTTACTGAGGTATATTTAGAGGGAAGTATGAGGGCAGAAGTCCAGTATGGAGTCCTGGGCACATATGGGGAAGGAAATTGAAATAAAGAGGGAGCCAGTAGTAGCACTTCCCTGAGAAAGCCCCATCATCTTCTATGTGGAGAGCTTGGTCTATGCGGAGACAATGGGAAGTTTTATATGAAACATGGGAATGTTGAGGGTGTCAATGATGAGACCAATCACAGGACTCTAATGTCCTCAGGCCCTAGGGCCCTCTTTCTCATTCTATTCTGGTCTCATCTGAAAATTAACTTAGTTTGAAAGATTTCCATTTGACACCAAAGTAAAACTTTCAATTGTGTTTAGGCATTCAAATTAATAGATAATTTTGTGGCTAGGATTTAAAGGATTTTGGAAATGCAGAAAATTCAATCCAACTTTTAGTATCTTGTTTCAATTTTTAAAATGTGCAATCTGTGACTGGTTGGAACCCACTGTAAGACCTCCTCTCTTGTTGCCTGGCTTCTGGCAAACGCTAATGTTCAATTCCTTAAGAGGAAGCAGAGAGTCTCCTGTGGGTATGCAATCACCAGGCTGGTGATGGCATGAGGGGGCTGGTCAGCCTGGAATTGCACAGCTTATTAATTGGCTAATGGCTCCCCTTCTGTGCCTGCATGAAGCCAGGTGTAAGAACTGCAGGGCTGGCTACAGGAAACCAGACCAGGTGTGCCTGTCTTTCAAAGCAGGACCCATCTGGGTAGACAAACTGTTTTCTGTTTTCAATAGCTTAATAGCAGCCTCTCCATTATTCTCTCTATTACACCCAGGAGAGAAGAGTTGGGAATACAAAACACATAAAAAAATCTTACAGATCCTTGTTTTCTCTATGTCCCAAATTAACTCAGTAACTTCCTTTTCCCAAAATGTAAATGAAACCATGTTTAATAGCCGCATAGAGTTTGGGTCAGTATGGAAAGCTATGCAATGACTCATGGCCATTTCCTGATATGAATTGGCATTCAAAGCCCATATATTGGATGGAGTTTGTCGCTAGGAGGACAAAAGGGCAGAAACTCTGTTTCTGGGACAACTGATGAGTTGTTGCCCTTGAGGTGCACCTTTCTTGGCTCTAATCAGTAGGAGTCAATCCCAATTCCTCATCACCAAGATTTGCCCCACCTCTGTGGTATGTTCAGTTAAGGCAAAGGCATAAAAACAAATATTTTGATATAAATATCCTAAATAGACAAAAATACACAGGTCCTTTTGCCTCATCTGTAAGAAGTTTGCAGTGGAAACCTCTCAGAAAACAGCAAAAATAACTTTTTCATAATTCCTAAGGTTCCATTCCAAACCCAAGCATACATCAAGGCAATTCACATAAAGTACTTAGTACAATACCTGGTGTATAATGAAATAAACAAACCAAACCAAATTCACTGTCATGAAGTTGCAAATTTTTACCATTGAGCCACCAGCCTTTTCGTTAGCAGCCAAATGCCTTAACTACTACATTGCCAGAGCTCCTTGGCATATAGTGGTATTGTTAGTGTTAGGTGCCATCTAGTCAGCTCCAACTCATAGTGACCCTACCTACAACAGAACAAAACACTGCTTGTTTGTGAGCCAATCCTTGCTACACCTGAGCCCGTCATTGCAGTCACTGTGTCAGTCCATCTCATTGAGGGCCTTCCCCTTTTTCACTGACCTTCCACTTCACCAAGCATGATGT